TTTATCCATCCTGATTGATCGCACCAATGTAATTATATATACTTATATTATGATATATAGAGACGGATTTTGATGCTATATATTACTTTTTTTTTTGTTTTTGGTCCTGTGTAGAATATATTTTCGTAAGTGAAAAATGTATGGGATAATGAATTTTTTCATAAATTCAACTTTTTAAACTTTTTTATGTTTTAATATATATCTTCACTAATATAATAATTTTCAAAGCTATATATTTTTATGCAATATTAATATAATATTTTATTATCTTCTGAAAATAATTCAACATTGCACAACACGTTTTCATCATATCGATTTTTAAGCTGTAAGAAATGTACCGCATCAAATATATTTTCAAAGTGCATATTATTAGATTTTTAAGGCATTTATGGATTTTTGTGATTATTTAGATTTAAAATCTCAGTATTAATTATAATAAATATTATATATCATATATATCGTGTGTCCGTTTTATAGCTTTTTTTTTTTTTAAAGGAACAGATCCATCTAAAGTCGTGGAGCCGCAAGGGGAGCAGCAAGTGACGTACAGCAGCGAGGAAGAAATATTGGAACACCGCGGTCTGGCCGTTGACTCGGAAGCGGAGATTGAAACGTCGACAGCGGTGGAGGAGGAGGAAGAGGAGATGCTGGTCGAAGAAGAAAAGCCAATAGTAGCGCTGGAAAAAGAACGCGTTTGCTTGGTAGAGGACGAGTATCACCATCATCTGCAGMACATTCACCACCATCAGCAGCTCTCGTCCCTTTCCGATCTAGTCAGCCGGCACTCGATCGACAGCTTGGACCAGGAATGTGGTCAGACGGCTGAAGACCCGGACGATGGTAACTATCCGGGTTCTTGTCTGAGCGCGGAAGACAGCGGCGTGCACACCGAGGATATGTCGAGCTGCGTTAGCCAAGCYGACGACGAGGAACGGTCCAACTTGCAGCCGAGTCCCGTGCTGCAGCAACAGACGCCGAACGTCGTCCAACAGCACGTCGACGACACGTACAACATGGTGAGACTGTAATATTATGAATTACATATTTATGCCTTGAGTGTCTGCAATCATATTATCCGTGACTGCAAAACCGCACTGTATCATTTTGGGATGGTGATGGTATTTCAAATTTTGATACCGTCGTCCGGCCAAGTGCTTAAGTCACGTAATTTCTAAAAATACCAATAATTACCATACCTTGGTAAATTTCAAAAACCAATAATAAATATGTTCGGTAAAATATATTTAGGTCGATTCAACCTAGCAAAATTGTACATCTATTTTAATAATTACGTTTTTAATAATCGTCATCGTTTAAAAAATGTCACTAAATGTTTTACAATTTCGTGGTAGGAATAATTACTAAAATTATCAAACAATATAATTACCATTGTGTAAAATGATAGAAATTCTAAAAAAAAAAAAATATTTTTTGACCTAAGTAATGCCGGGTCCACACATAGACGACACAGAAACAAAACAAAAACCAAACTCAAACCCTTCTTTTTGAAGTTTGAAAAAAATAAAACACAAACAAAACATGTGTCCATACTGAGTTGAGTAAATATAAAACAAAACATGAACAAAATTCAAACATTTGTTCGTGTTTTGTTTTTGTTTTCAACTATCCATACAGAAATATAAACTCGTCGTTTTATTTCGTTCATACGTGGTCATTCAGTCTGTCTTAAGAGTTTTAGCTTTCTAAACTCTTCGTACTTACAAGTTTTTTTTACATTTTTTTACTCTGAGTGAAAATGTGGAAATTGAAAAGAGATATTGAAAACGATGAAGATTTATTTATGTTGGGTGCTGGGTATATTTACCTACAGTTACAAAGTAAAAAAATAAATGATACGATTAAAAGATGTTTTAGTTATATAATGAATATATATATATTTATTAATAACCAAATTGGTACTGCCCGCGAAATCCCGATAAAAAATATTGCCTGTTGGTTGTTTTGAAAACATGTCCACACACGTTCGACAGTGTTCGCAAAAACAACAACAAAACCAAAACCTTTTGATGTTTACCGACACCGCTCGGAACACGACTTTGTTTTTCAAAACACGAACAATTTGTTGGAAAAAACAAAATTGTTTTAAAAATTTTTTGATTTTGTCGAAAAACAGAGYTTTTGTTTTGTTTTACTTTTGTCGTCTCTGTGTGGACCCGGCATAATAKGATATCAAATAAGCGATGGCGGATTTATATTATAAATCATGAAAGTTTTCCAAAATACCGATAACATTTGATATTGGTATTTTTTTTTCAACATCGAAAATATCACCAGTCTTTATTGCATACTGGTTAAGAATGTAGCACTACATATATAGTGCGTTATATTATGCAAAACTGTACTTTATTGCGTAAATCGTTACTAATTATAACTTATAAGCATAAAAAATAATATAAAGTGGCTGAGTGTATGCATGTCAGTTTTTAAAAAGTCGAGCTTTCTATAAAAATAACAAATATTTATATTTACAATAGAATTTTTGATAAATAATCCGACTTACAGAGAGTATAGTTAGAGTCCACAGCAATTTCCATATGACAAACAATATCTAAGAGTTAAATTTTTCCTGGCATCCTAGTACTGCAGATTAGATAAGGTTATAGGTTATACATTCAATGATCTTCACCCCCAAAAAGGCACAGATTTATACATTTTTAATAGATACAAATAATATATTAGTATACATATTTACATCAATCGACGGGAATGTTTTTATTATTTATTTAATTTTACTAACTAAAAATCGCGACATAAATAATTATATAGGTAGTCATTGCAGGACGAACATTAATTTTAAGTAATTACAAAAGGTTATTTACGTGGGTTGAACATAATGCRGATACAATTGATAAAAATAATTATTTTACAGTAATAAATAATGAACAATTTATTATATAGAGCGATTTTGAATTAAGAAGGAATTTCAGAGTTGATCTAATGTTGAGTTGGTCTGGATTTAAGATTTCGGGAAAGTGGTATGACAGGAGCGATTACAGACATTTCCTTACTATTCGGCATTGACCCATGTGACATACAGAGTATATCTAAATGAATAAAATACACCTAATTTGTACCTACCAATGAATATTTTTATTTTACCGTTCAACTGTTATAATTTTGAATGTTTTTTACCTTTTTGGTATATATATATATAATATTTTTGATGGAAGGTGTGGACTGTGTTTTTATAATGAGGAAGGCGCGAATTGTTGGAGGTCGGAAACCGCTGGATTAACATTTTAATATACATATATATGCATAGGAATAGTACATTATACCCAATGACGTAGGTACGTGTTTTGTAACTGTAACAATAAAAACCACCACCAGAGTTTATTACATATATTATATACCAATATACCACATCGCGTGGTTTTAACGGATCGCTTACGAGATTTGATCGCAAACCGGTAATGTCTCCCCCCTCCCCCCCAACGATTTTATGCTAACCGCAAATTCGCAAGATTTAGCTTGTCATATAATTGTATAGATCGGCAGGAAATATATTTCTTTATGATTGTATATTATTATCGATTTATTATTTTACATTCTTACAACTACAAATGAATTACTGACCGTTTCTTTGTTTGGTGTTTTTGAGTTCATAAAATCAAACTTTTAACTTATAATATGTTTGTGTTCTTCAGGTACTCGAATTGACGCCCATCAACGCATTGGAACCACCCAAAGAGAAACCGCCTCCGCCACCCGTAGACGCGTATCCAGACGACGATGGCCAGGTGCAATTGCCGCTAGAACCCGTAAGTATTAATTATTAATTATCAACTATATAATTTATATACACCTATATGTATATGGCATTGAATTCCGTGCATTAATGTTGCGTGTTGATACACATCAGGCCGTAGACAGCTTGGAGTCAGCCAAACGCATTAAGAAAGAAATGTGGATGAAACGTTCCAGTTTCCTTGGCCTGGAAGAATACACGAACGGCAACGCCAGCTACGAGCACGGTAAATCCGATAAAATTACTTTATTAAATACTGTGAGCGATCTCATGAGCGCTTTGTAGCTTATGCTTTTGGTGTTTATTATGTGTTATAGATTTGGAAAACTTGAAGTCGAAACCGCCCGATTTAACGTCGTTTTTGGAGGAGGAACGTCGACTGGAAAAATTGTTGTACAACCAGAACAAACCCGAAAGGCAACCACACGACACAACCAGGGTTAGTGTGCGGTTCATGTCAATAAAAAAAATATACAACCATACAACTAGGATGCCTCAGGGTTTACCTATACCGGACATTGTCATAGAATAGAACAAAAAAAAATCTCAGAGTCCATTTTTGCTGTTAAAATAGTAATCTAAGAAGTTAAGAACTCAGCGATTGAGAATCTAATTTAAATCTACCGTAGATGCTCTTAAAAACCTCACGTTTACAAAATGCTAAATTTCAGATTTTTGCTCACTCTACACTAGCATGACGTACCTATTGTTTCACGAACTTTGTAAACGGAAACGTGAAAAGTTCAGGAAACACCATTACCCTTTATAGTGTCGTGCATGTTACTTCTTAATTATTAATCACTTTTATCTCGATACTCGTGTTCGTAATATATAGTATATACCTATTATGAGTATAATATGATCTAATGATCTTTCGTCTGAAAATCGCGTCTTTGCAGATTTACGAGAACGTTAACAGCATTCCGTCGCAGAACGTKTACGTAGACGACGGTGGCGACAGCGAGAGCAGTCAGTATATGAGGGACATATTGCAAGTGGAAGAGCAGAGTCGATGTAATCAGTTGAAGAACAAAGCTGCTCAAAACAACATAGGTAAACGATGTTTAAAACTCAGATCTATGTTAGATTAAAATCCATCAGAAATCTGGTGTTGGGAAACAATATCCTGCAATATCCAATCGTTAGAAAAAATTGGGGTTAAACGGATAGGAAAATGTATATGTTTAAAATAAAATATTGATAATGACAGCTTAGTAAAAGATCAGCATTTTAATATTAACATTATTTTTCATAAACTATAAAAATAATGAAAAATGAATCTAAACGTACTTTTAAAATATTCCATTTTCTAATTATTTTCCAAGTGCCAATAAAAAATTATAAGTAATAATATAGGTATGTACATTGTACAGGAAATAGTAATTTTTTAAGGTACTATAGGTTTTAATGTAATTTTTCCCTAAAAATACACTTTACGTGAATAATGTTTCTCTCCTTTATTATTTAGATGGCAAATATTCTACATTTTAATTATTTACTTAATGTTTAAAAAAAAAAAAAAAACGATTGTATTGTTTTTTTATAAATTATTTTACACCATTATTAGAAATAAAATAAAAAACTGCAGCTCAATTTGGTAGAAATTCTTCTATTCGGGCAAAAAATAGTTATCAAAATTTGATATTTCATTGATGTCCGAGAGACGAGAGTATTTCCTGTAAAGTAATTTTTGTTTATATAAAACACTAGGTGATGACAATAGATTAGTGGCAGAGTATGATAATCAAGATGTGGCCTAAAAAAGAAATATAATCGAAAACGTCCCCTTAAAGGCTTAAAATAATAACATAATATATTATACACTTTTGACAATCATACTCGAATAATGCGTACCTAATTAGGTAGGTATTATTATTATTTTTAAACCGGTCATTTCCCATAATTAATTTTTAATTGTATTTTTGTGCTATCCGTTAGKGTTTCAACCCTGGTTTTTTWCTGGTTGGATATCTTACATTTAATACCTACTGAACATTTGTATTTAGATTCAGGGAACCTATAATATTATAACCAATGCATTACGCGAACCATAATATTATAAACACTGAAATATTAAGAAGAGGATTATTATATTCGACGTGACTTAACACATTTATTGTTTGATTTCGGTAGGCGAAAAATTAGTGAAAAAGTTAAAAGAACTCGAAGAGGATCTAAACAATCAAGAGTGCGCTCGGGTCGGATCGGCACACTGGTTGCCGCCGCCCACTCGTCACTCTATGCAAGACATCTCGTCAACTGCGTCCGTCACGAATGCCAGACCGCAGCCACCTGCAGCACTAGACCACACTCAGTCCATGCCAAACTTGGAGGTGATTACCATTTGATAATATCTTTTTTCGCTTTGAACTTTTTCCACCCGTTATAATAAATTTCACGAATCACTTTGATTTATCTTAAAATAGAAATTTTGTAACGGCTATTGAGTTAATACCAGTTAATGCTCCAATGGCCCAATTCATATGTATACCAGTATACCCTCCATTAGACTTACATCTAAAACAACCTTATGACTTACACAATATTAAAATTTTTCAGTTTTATTAATTATCAATAGGCTTTTGTGGATAACCAAGTATTTTTTAGTTATTTTATTCGGAAATCAGATAGCTAAAAACTAACAGGTCATTAATCTAATACAGCAATTATGACTAATATAGTAACGATGGTATAATTAGATATAATTAGCAATGAGCTACAGGCTCAATACTTATCAAATAATAACTCAACTGCACGTTTTTACAATCGACATTTAGGTAGTAGGTACGTATCCTTAAGTGTCGTCGAAAAAAWAACATTTTTAGTTGAATTCTCTTACCAAGGTCAACCCACCCAGATGAGTCATCAAATCAYAAAACGCGCTAAAATATTAAAATCTCTTACAATAAAAAATTCAATATTATTTATATAATACGCTTAACTGGATATATTAAATATATGCGCTTAGTGCGGAGGCCCCAAGATAATGTTTACTAGTTTCCACCTACGACAATTATTATACTTAATTTATAATAGCGTGAAAAGATTTGTTTTTTTTTTCAAAGATTTATAAATTGGGACTTATTCTTGAGTCAATAGTTTTTATCGTTAATCTTTCGTCTTACCATGGAAAAATAAAAATCATTTAATCGAAGGTAGGTATTCAACAAAGGCAACAGCAAAGACAATAACAACTCGGTTGTGTTCCTACCTATACTTGTACCTACTGTATATTGTAAACAACTATTTGGATACATATACAATAAACTAACTCAATCATTATTAATCGATGTTACCTAATTATTTGTATACGTTTACAGCAACAGCAGCCCGTTCACAGCACCAGTCAACACCATCATCCCGAAGATTTCACTTGGTGCGTATGATTTTCGAATTGTTTTTAGTTTTTTTTTCTTTTTTTTACCTGTAATTAATATACCTATAATACTTTGGGATTTCACAATTTAATACTTAAACGTGTTAAACGACGTGAACATGATATGCATGTATAAAGTGCCACGGCGGGTGTAGAAAACGGTAGAAATACCGTCATTTCCTCTCTCTCTTTTCACGTTTCTTTCTGCCAACGTCTAGCAAACCACATAGATATTATTATCGTCTAAAATGTAAGCGACCTGCCTTTGACGAATTCTGTTCGGTGTTCGCTTTTCATAGGTACGTACTAAATAGAAAACGGCCAACGCGGTCACTGTCCAAACGAAAAACGAGTTGGTACTCGATACGTAGTGCTCGAAAAAAAAAATAAAAAAATACGATCTCACCCGCGTGCGCTGCAATCGCGCATTGTCCCGTTCGAATATTCTTTTGAAGTGCTGTGGGTGTCGTGTTTGTTAATTCATTAATCACAATATTCGTCGATCGCACTTGTTGCGTGTCTCGATATGTCGCGTACACAATATAAGGAGAGACCAAGCTCACACGCGTTTAAACACTTTAAACGAAACGTTCACGATAGGCAAACCTAATCTTCTGTACATATATAGTATATATTTTTATATTCATCGCCATACCGATTGGATCGAATCCGTTGCAGGATTTGGGATAAATCATATCGATATATGGTGTTTCTGATTTCTGTGTAGGTCTTCTCAGAACGGTTGTCCCAGACCGGCCCAGCCGAGCGTCTACGCCAAGAGAAAGCCGATCAACAGTCAGTCGGAAAAATACAACTACCAACACTGGCTCATTCAAGTATGTGTGAAACCCCGAAGCTCATCGCCACATCGAAATTAACGCGTTCTAACCGGCACGGATGTAATACATTGTTGTAATTTTGTTCTTCTTTTTAGGAAGCCGAACACCGCCGTTTGGTCGACCGGTGTAACCGTCAAGTGCCGCCGGGCGCAATAGCGTCAAACCAACCGCGTTCGCGCACCAGACCGTCTATACCGCCACCTCCACCGCCGGCGCACAACAAAAAACCTTTGCCCGACTCAGTCATTAACACACTGACTCAGCGTGTGCAAGACCGTTTGTCGTTCAACGACTTTCACAGGTGATTTCCGTTTAACAACAACAACCAGGGGCGAACGCAGGAAAAAATTTCGGGGTTGGTTTTGAAAAAATTTAAAGTAGGTATTCTTAAATATCATATTATTTATACTGTATTACACTTTTCTATATTTTATTTTAGTCACTTATACTATTTACATAAATACATAATACATATATAATAAAATATCATAGATAATAATTAATAACTAATTATTACACAATTTGTAGGTTAGTTGTAGGAATTTCCGGTAGACGGCAATTACACTCGTCGTCTATCTACATTACGTAGTACATCATCGAATTGGCGGCCTTCGATGTCGATCAGTTATTAATAAGTTATAACATAATGTCATACTCACTTCGAAACTGCATTATCATACATTTTATTGGTGATTTTACTGTATCTATTCATTTACAAACCACGGGAGAAGGGAAACTTTTTAATAACTAATAATTTATTTTTATTTTTTTGAAATGTTATTAGTAATACACTAATACATTTGTTGGTCAGATAATTTATTTTTTGTACCTACTATTTCGGGGGTTGTTTAAACCCCTAAAACCCCCCCTGCGTTCGCCCCTGACAACAAAATTGGTTATCCATTCGATCGGGGTGCACTTGTTATTTCAGAAACTTTAATAACGTCTGCGAACATTTATATGTATTGATAACAACATTTTTCTAAAATATGATATGAATTTTTCACAATTTTTTTTTTATCGTCACTATTTAAAAAAGAAAATATTCAAAGCAGAATGTGAGGTATCTAGTACTCCAACCTATGGTATTAAAATCGAATTTTGGACGAGTAATTTATGAGTTAAACGTTTGGATTGGCGWAGTGGATTTGGTCAAGGGCACCCGTACCCCTCAAAATTTGATCCATAATTCCACTCATCTAAACTATAAATTGGCACTTATAAGTAAGAACTATTAAACTACTAGTCCAAAATTTGACTTTTATCGATAGAAATATTCTGAACAATATTTTGCATAAGAATATGAAATTAATAATGTAAACTGTAAATTTCAATAATGAAGAGAAACTTTAGTTTAAAAAAAAATTGGAAAAAAAATATTWTCGAAAATTTTAGTGTTTTCAATATTTTACCGAGTGTATTTTAAATGGATTACCAGGTATATATAATTTTATAGGAACTATTGATGTACTTTACCAGGGCCTTCTCGAATTAATTTTTTTTTATATGTTTATTTTTGCTAAATTCAAGTATATTCATTTTAATATTATAATAGAAATTATATAAAAAATGAAAATAAAAATAAATATGACATTTAACTCGGAAGAATTTCTTAAAAATGTACAATTTCAAATAG